GTGACAGAAGCCAACTGAAACTAGTAAGGAAGTTACTAGTTATTGGCTCACCTAACTGAAAGGGAGATGCTTCCAGGTGTACCAACAATGTGCTTATTAATTTGGAGTTTTCTCTTTCTCCCTTTCTATATTAAGAATCTGCTTTGCTCTGTGGTGATTTTGTTCTTTGGAGGGCTTTCTTCGTATGTTACAAGGATTACCAATAGCCAAGCCTGGAGTTAAGCAGCCCCAACAGAAGGAAAGCTCTTTTCTAGTGGTTCTAGTAACTACCTTAGAGCTGACTCTCACTGGTGAGGCACAGGCCAGGTGCTCCTGGCTGAAACAGTCATGTGATTGGGAAGGAGCTCCCGCATTGGCCAGGCCTGTCCTCACCTCTGGAGCATTGTTGGAGCACGGGGCTTGGGAAGGTTGAGGATGACAGTCTCACATGAACCACATCAATAGGGAATCAGGGAGATGAGGATTCCACAAAACAAAATTAGTGTACTGTTACCCAAAAAAGAGGTGGGGGAATGCTTGTTGGGCCAAAAGTACAAATATTCCCTATGGAAAAGATATTTATCCCCACATTTTGTAGCCTGAGATTGCTATTCTTTGTCTTTCACTATCAGCTCTCATTCATGTTGCTGTCAGTTTGCTTCTATCACAATCTCTTTCTACATTTTAATTTATAACATCTTATTTTCCAAAGGTTTGGAAACCAGATGGGCAAAGTCATTAGAATTATTATTTTTTTTATTGTTGTTCAATTACAGTCATCCTAATTTTTCCCCTGTTGCTCTCCCCTGACCCACCCATCCCCTCTCCCTCAGTCAGTCTCCACTCTCGTCCATGTCCATGGGTCCTCTTATACATGGTCTTTGACCAGACCTTTCCTCTTATTTCCCCTGTTATCCCCCTCTCCCTCCCCTCTGGTTACTGTCAGTTTGTTCTTTATTTCCATGTCTCTGGTTCTGTTTTGCTTGTTTGTTTGTTTTGTTGATTAGGTTCCACTTATAGGTGAGATCATATGATATTTGTCTTTCACCGCCTGGCTTATTTCTCTTAGCATAATGCTCTCCAGTTCCATCCATGCTGTTGCGCTAAGAGTTAATGGGCTCTGAGGTGAGACCTCAAGTGCCTCCCTATTAGTAAGGAATATAAACTTTCTACTTTTCAATGGATTTCATGACATTTCCTATGACCCTTCAAAGGTCATTTTTACATATTATCTCTCCCTTTTTTCCCAAAACTGCATTCTTAACAGAAGATATACTATTGTAATTTCAAGACCCAGTGACTATGAATAGTAAATACTATGAACATGGTTGTTTTAAGTAAAGGTTACATTTTGTGATTTTACTAAATTTAAATAGGTTTTCTGAAGTGATAATGACGGTGTGCATTCTTTTGGAAATGAAAACGTAACAGAAAGTAAATAGAGTTAACTAGTTAGTTGTAAGTTGTTTTCCTGAACTTATTAAAATACTGGTATTTTATTTTAGCTTTCTCCCTGCAATACCTCTCTGACCACTGATAAGTACTTTGGCTTCCTTAGTGGAACTATAGGGAAATAGGAAAAAAATTTTTGGAACACAAATCTGTGTAAATGCCCACCGATTGCCCATACTGTGCAACATTCTAAGTTTTGATTGTTTATGTTAAAAATAACCATAATCCAAATTAAACTAAAAGGATTTTGAACAGCGAAGGAAATCATTAACAAAATGAGAAGAGAATCCATTGAACAGGACAACAGATTCACCAATGATACATCTAATAAGCTGTTAATTTCCAAAATATATAAAGAACTCATACAACTCAACACCAGGAAGACAGACAATGCAATTTAAAAATGGGCAAAGCACCTGAATAGACACTTCGCCAAAGAGGACGTACAGATGGGCAATATACATAGGGAAAAAAATGATCAACCTCACTAATCATCAGAGAGATGCAAATTAAAACCGTAAGTTATCACCTCACATCTGCAAGAATGGCTGTCTTTAATAAATCAGCAAACAACTAGTGCTGGGAAGGATGTGGAGAAAAGGGAATGCTTGTGTGTTGTTGATAGACATGCAGGCTGATGCAGCCACTGTGGAAAACAGTATGAAGTTTCCTCAAAAAGTTAAAAATAGAGCTGCCTTATGACCCAGTGATTCCACTTCTGGGAATATATCCTAAGAAACCCTAAACACTAACATGAAAGAACATAAGCACCCCTATGTTCATTGCAGCATTATTTACAACAGCCAAGATCTGGAAACAGCCCAAGTGCCCATCAGTAGATGAGTGGATAAAAAACTGGTGCATTTATACAGTGGAACGCTACTCGGTCATAAAAAAAGGAATCTTACTTTTTGTGATAGCGTGGATGGACCTGGAGATTATTATGCTAAATGAAATAAGCCAGTTGGAGAAAGACAAATACCATATTATTTCACTCATAATGTGGAATTTAATGAACAAAATAAACAAACATAGTGGAGACAGACTCATGGACACAGAGAACAGACTAACAGTTATCAGAGGGGAGGAAGTTTGGGGAACTGAATGAAAGGTGAAGGGATTAATCAAATAACATATATACGATACATAATACATAGACACAGACAGCAGAGTGGTGATAGCCAGAGGAAAAGAGCGGGGAGGGAGTAATTGAAGGTGGGCAAAGTGATGGAAATGGGGACAGAAAAAGACTTTGCTTGGGACAATGAGTGGACAATGCAGTGTGCAGATGATGTTTTGTTGAGTTGTACACTTGAAACCTATGTGGTTTGGTGAACCAATGTCACCTCAATAAATTCAATTAAAAATACCACAATAATATTAATCGAACAAATTTGTAAAAGCTTCATTTTAGCTCATTGTTTATGTCTATCAGAAATAATCATTTATATTTTTTAGCTATTTAAAAATATTCTTCAGAATTTGTTGATCCTTTGAATTGTTCTTTTAGCGTGTAAGTCATTTAATTCTGCTCTGATCTTATTTGCTTCCTTCTACTCGCACCAGAGACATGGAAATAAAGAACAAACTGACAGTGATCAGAGGGGAGGGGGGAAGGGGAAAGCGGAGGGAAGAAGGGGAAGGGGCAAGTCAAGGAACATGAATAGAGAGCTCATGGGCACAGACAATGGGGCGGGGATTGAATGTGGGGGTGGGGCAGGGGAGAGCAATGGGGGGAAATGTGGGACAACTGTAACTGAAAAACAAAAATTTTTTTAAAACAGGAAAATAAATAAATAAAAAGTGTTCTTCATAAGTGACAGAATTGGGTGATATTGGGAATTCCATAAAGGAGGTGATTATAGAGACACTGCCTAAGAGTTTCTATGTAATTGCTCGAATAAGAAAGATGAAGAAATGACAGTGGTGTTATTAAATCAATATAATTAAGAAGTTAGCCTTGAAAGAGAGGTAAAAAGCATAATAAAGAAAACCAGTTGGATTAAGTAGTAAATTCTTCAAGACTGGTGAGGCCTTGTCCTTCTTAATAGGAAAAGCAAAAAGATTCCTAGAGAATTATAATTAGAAAGAAGGCACATGAGTGGCTACTAACCAACACTCTTACCAGATGCATGGTTGGAACCACTCTAGCCTCTATTGTATAGATAAGGAATTACCGTAGTTACAAAGAGGCGAAGCAATTTGGTGTATGATGGAGCTGAACTTTGGGCCCAAGTTTGTCCACCTCCAGAGCCAGCAGACCTCTAACAGTGGTGTAAACAATTACCTCAAAGGTTGGCAACCCAAAACTGATGTAGCAACTCAAGGGTGTCATCAAGGAAAGAGCTTGTCCTGTTTTACTTATCTACTATCCTTGGTATAGGACCTTTTGGTCTCATCACTGAAAACGGCTGCTGGTCCTCTAGGTAGTGTATCTACATTTTAGGAAGAAGAAAGGGAAACATTAGAGGACAAAGAGTAAGCAGTATGATCCTTGAAAACCTTTTCTTATTGTCTGAGAATGAAAGTCCCCCACAAGGACTCCTACTTGTATCTCATTACGAAGACTGGGACACATGACCACCCCTGACTGCAAAATGGCTAAGAATTGGAGTACTTGGCTCTCAGCGTATACATAGCATAGGAAGCCTGGCGGATGGGATTGAAGTTGGTGTTTTTGGAAGTTTGCCTTACAGGTTTTTCAGTTATTTTGTATAAGTTTATTTTCTCTGACATAATGTAAACCTATAGAGAACAAAGACTGTGTTTTGATATCTTTAAATTGCCCACACTAACAAGCAAGTGACTGCTGTAGTACTTATTACAATGTCTAAAAGATTTTGGCTACTCAGATCAGTGTTGTATTTTTGTTAATTTTACTTTAGAAGTTACAACTAGGAAAGAATTAGTGACTCTAGTTTCTCTGAAAATGATAGAATCCGTAGATTTCTCTCTGGTGACTCATTTCTTCATAGCAGCATTGGAAAATTACTTGGAATTTTCTGCTTCATCAAGTTGGCCCTTAGATAAGAAAAGTTAATGGTAGTATTACTTGGAATATTTTAAGTATAAATCACAAAAACAGAGTGGGAAAGAAATCGTATAAATGTACGTTGGTCAGTCTGGACCAGTGTGCCTCAGTTGGTTGGGCATCACCCTGCAAAGTAAATGGTCATGAGTTCAATTCTCAGTCGGGGCACATGCCTGGATTGCAGATTCAACCCCTGGTCAGGGCACATATGAGAGGCAATTGATTGATGTTTCTCTCTCACATAGTGTTTCTCGGTCTTTCTCTCTCCCTCCCCCTCTCTCTAAAAATAAGTAAATAAAACCTTTAAAGTGCTGCACCCTAAAAATGTATATTGGTCAACAAGGGCTTTTTAAAGAGAGGTAAAAGGTAGATAAGAATTAGGATAAGTTATTGTAATCAAAGAAAAGGTTAGCCATTGAAAACTAAGAATCGTCTAATTTCAAGTTATTTTAACCACTCAGAGTTCTAAGGGGAAAAAAATAAGGACAATTCATGAATTTAAATTGCTCAAATGGCTGTTTATTTGTTTAAATCTCAGATTGCTGAAAAACAAGTCCTGTTTATTGTCCTTCTATCATCTTATTCTTAAATATAAATCATGGGGGATAAAAATAAAACAATTGAACATGAAGATTTGGAGCCATCCACAGTAGTGAATCACAAAGCTTCTACATATCAAGAAATACAGGTAAATCTGTAATTGGATGAAGTACATCCCAACTGTTCCCTTAAAGATGAGACTATATGTTTCCAAATCTATGATACAAGTGTTTTCTCTTTATTCTCTATCACTTGGTTAACAATTCTCCCTATTCTTAATCCTCAAACTCATACAGTCCAGGGTAGGGATGACTATCAGTTTTCCCAGATAGTAATTAACAGCTGGCCCAATATGAGGCTAGAAAAATAAGAAACCTGTGAAATTCATTGTGTTCCCAGCCTGACCATTATTAGTATGGTTCTTTTATTGCTTAAATTCTAGTAGGTGAATGAATGTGAGTTGTTTTTCACCACAGATAGTTATCTTTTCCTGAACCACTTTTATACATTTGTCCAACTATTGCTTTGAATCATATCTTAAATAGGTTAATTTTTAAACCCAGTATTGTAAAACATAATGAAATTTTATGTGACTGAAACATTTATAATGATACAAATAGTGATTCAGTGGTAAATATGCCCAACATAGTTCTTGTTCCAAGTATTAGCTGATTAGCTAATTATAAAGCTATGCATTTCCCCAGTAAGTGTTAGCCTTGATTCTAGTAATGGGAATTCAATTTGTGATGTGATGACTCAGTAACTAAAAAAAATGTATAGCAAATATGCGGTTTAAGGATTTTTTTTTAATTGCCTTAAACACAGGAGGAAACAGTTACAAACCTCAGAGGTATAAATGGAAATGAATCAACAGAAGGAGGTAACATTTTGAATAGCAGTGAAAGAAGCCTACCAGAAACACCAGCTGAATCAAATCATTTGCAAAGACTAAAGCAAACATTCTCTTGCCCTCCACATGGCTTACTGGCTGAACTAATAACAAATGGTATGTAAATGGTAAGGATAAGTTCAGAAACAGTATAAAAGACAAAGTTGTTATATAATGGGAAATCCTAAAATAATACAGTTTAAAGAACAAAAAGCAGTCTACTTCTCTCTCACATAACTACCAGGTGAGCCCTGTCTGGTATGGTTCAGTGGGTTGGGCGTTGTCCTGCAAATTGAAAGGTCGCCTGTTTGATTCCTGTCAGGGCATATGACTGGACTGCAGGCCAGGTTCCCGGTTGGAACACGTGTGAAGCAACTGATTGACGTTTCTCTCGCACATCGAGTTTCTCTCCCTCTCTTTCTCCCTCCCTTCCACTGTCTCTAAAAATAAAAATAAAAAAAATCTTTATAAAAATAAAATAAAAACGACTAGGTGAACAATCTGCAATGGCGAGTTGCTGTGCCCCACACAGTCATTTTAGGGCCCAGGCTGAAGGGCTCCCCCACCTTTGCCAGCGGGCTTCCAAGAGCACTGCAGTCACCATTCCAGCTGCCAGGAACAGGAAAAGAACAGGAATCAAAGACCTTTTTCTTTTCTGTATCTGAGGTGTTTCACAGGATTATGTTAATGCTCCAGTGAGAAAAGGGACTGAGAAACAGAAGTAAACAGAAGAGCACTACATAAGTGTTGGGTGTCATTACTATTAGTTAATGCAACAAATGTTTGGACGAACTCAGCTCAGTTTATACTTCAAAATGAATCACATCATTTTATAAGTAAAGATCTTGGTTTGCAATTCAACTTATTCCAATAAAGCTGTTATTACTTAAAATACTTGGGACATTTTTCTTGGGGAATTTATCTCAGCATGATTTTAAATACTGTTATGTTTGAGATATATTTGTCTTTCAAGAATAGATTTGGTTTTTGGAGGCAGCTAAACAGTATTCTGATATCAATTGGATGAATATGTGGATGTTCAATTGATCAATTGAGTAATGCTGTTTTGTTGTTGTTCAGAAAGGAAGTGCATGTGTTTGTATGTGTGTGCCTGTTATACTATATATATGTATATGTATACATATACATATACATATACATATACATATACATATTGGAGGATGTATAGTATAGTAGGAAGAAGAAGGGGTTTGCAGATTGTCTGTAAGGCAGACTGAGAGACAGTTTCAAAAATTGTATTGAGGAATGACAGCATGATTGAAATAAATACATTGCCTCCCAGAGTAAATATATAACATGTTTGTTCTAGAATGTAACACATTTAATTTAGAAGTTAGGTTTATTGAAAAATCAGACTCACTTCTTTATAGTTTTTCATTTGGGCGCTCTAAAAGACATTTTTACCATTCTCAGCTAGGTCAATGGACACCAAGTATAATACATTATACTTGAGGCTCTAGACATGTTTTCAATGAAATTAGGTATATTTCTAAGTTAGCATGAGAAAAAAATCTCAAATTTTATTTAAAACACAGAGAAAAACCATGTTCCAAAATATACACAGGTTGATATGGCCACAGATAATTTAATATCTTTTCTGTCCTCTTTATTATTTTTCTGATTTTGTAACATTCAAATTATGGCACATTTCTAGTTAAAATATGTACAGGAAAATAGATTCAGATTGACATAAGGAGAGGCTTGATAAATGTGATTTTGAGACTCATTGTTTTTATTTTTTTATTTTTTAAAGATTCTACTTACTTTTAGAGAAAGGAGAAGGGAGGGAGAAAGAGAGGGAGAGAGATGTCAATGTGCAAGAGACACATGAATCGTGTGCCTCTTGCATGACCCCAACTGCGGACGTGGCCCACACTCAGGCACATGCCCTGACTGGGGATTGAACCGGTGACCTTTTGGTTTGCAAGCTGGCACTCAATCCACTAAACCACACCAGCCATGGCATGACTCATTTTTAAATTCTATAATCATTGTCCATAAAGTGCCAGAGAAATTTAAATCAGTGTATAAACCCCTCTTCACTTGTTTTCCTTTGCTTCTCTTCCTGAGGCTTACAAGATAGTGTTTTTCCTATAGTACTTCCTATTACCATTCAGTATATATCAGCATCCTTATTAAGAAGTAAATATCAATATTACATGGGAATATTCAATTTTCCAAAATAAAAAATGAGAAGCAAATTATTAACTAAAATGTTAGGGAAACCTTATAAATGTACATTTGCTATGTATTTATGACTGCATTTTGAATATGGGAAATTAAAGGAAAATTAGAGGTTTAAAAACGTGGCCTTAAAGTGGAAAAAAATTTTAATTATTCACACAGTGTATATTTATTTCCATCAATATATAATTTATATTACTAATGTATTTTTTGGCTAAGTATATTGCCAATATATACTTGTTAATGCAGTAATTATTTGTTCCCATCAAGAAGTGGGTAACCAGATCTGATACATGAGATATTAAAGTTCCATTCAAGTGAAAAGCTCCTAATTCTACCTTGCTAAATTTAGTATGAAATTGGGTTTATGCTGTGATGAAGTAAAATTTAGTAGCTGGCAATTCTTGCTTTCCTGTTATACCTCCAATACTGTATAGAAATTTCAGCCCCTGTAGCCATTGGAAAATACCAAAAGCCCCTTAGTTATTTCACTACAATAGCATCATAAGCCTAGAAAATATGGAACAATTCTGTTATGATTTAAAAAATGGAATATTGGATTCAATCTCTAGCAATATGGTAGACAAGACTCACACTCTTTCTACTTATACCAATGAAAACATCTGAAAAAAATTTTGTCTTTTTAAATGTACCATTTATCCATCAAAGAAACAAGAAATCATCAGACACCAAAACAAGTATGAATAAAAGAAATAAGTACTCAATCTGACTTTCATCCCAGCGGCTTCTGCAAAACACCAATGAATTTGAGATTTATTTTGAGAACCATGAGCGTACAGGAGGCTACTCTAGAGCTGGCCCAGGTTGAAAGAAGTACAATAGGAGAAACCATTCTCCCTTAGCCGCACAAAATTGGCAGCCGGTGTGATGGTGAACTGGAGGTAAACCTGCCCTGCAGGTGGGGGCTGCAGCTAAACCTGTCAGTCTCAATTGTGGTGCTGGCCAGGGAGAGGAGTGTCCGCTACAGATGTGGACATGCTGATTTGTGCTCCAAAGTCACTGAAGAAAATCAAGCTAAAAATATGTCTAAAACCGTCCTGAATTATAAGCTTCTGAGTACATGATAGAAGCGGATTCAGATCCTATCTGGAAAAATTCACATTCTACCTAAGGTTTCAACAATTCTGAAAGATAAAGTTTTAAGGAATAGGTTACTATTGCAAAAACAAACAAAAAAAATCACAGCACGCATGAGGAAACATTTCAAAAAATTGCATTGCCTAAAAATATGATAGAATATAAAATATTTTTGATACCTATAAAGAAGTTGAGATGATAGTAAATATAAGCACAAAATAAGTAACTATTTTTAAGATAAACAAAGATGTTTTAATAGAGAACCAAATTGAATTTCTAGAAATGAAAGATATAGAACAGTAATTGAAATTGAAAACTTAGTGGCTAGATTAGGCAGCAGAGTAATAAAGAAAGAATTGGAAAACTAGCAAATAGGTCAGAAGAGATTATCTAAAATGTAGTGCATACAGACAACAATGGATAGTATGGAAATTAGGTTGACAACATGTAGAAAAGAGTGTATCTAATCGTAGTTCCAGAAAAAGAGAACAGGAAGAATGGCGAAGAGGAAGTATTTGAGGAAATAAAGACTGGGAATTTTCAAGAACTGATGAAAAACAAAAACTAAGCAAACCAAAGGAAGCCATACCTAAACACGGCATATTTTAAAAGAGCCAAAGAAAAATTCCCTAAAAGAGCTGAAATTAAACTCAAAATGAAAATTAGCAACAGTGAAAGACTGAAAAAACCTGGGAACAATACTTCCAAGGAACTGAGAGAAAGAAACTCTCAACTTAGGAGTGTACACCCCCAAAAATGAAAATGAAAATAAAATTTTCTTTTAAAAATGATAATAAAAATAATTCTAGACAAGTAAAACAGAATTGACTACCAAAAGATCCTAATGAGAAATATAGCATACTTGGCTGCAGCGTATTTCTGTATCATGAATTAACTCATTTGCAATGGTGAATAGGAAATTGTGTCAGTGTAATATGCAATATGCATTTTTGTACATAATTTTTCCTGGCACATTAATACTTTGCATCATCAAGCAGTAAAAGCGAATGCAAAGTGAATTAAGGCCCTGGCCGGATAGCTCTGTTGGTTAGAGCATCGTCCTGGTATGCTAAAGTTACGGGTTCGATTCCCAGTCAGGGCACATACTAGAATCAACCAATGAATGCATAAATAAGTGAAATATCAAATCGATGTTTCTTTCTATCTCCATCTCTCTCTCTCTTTCTCTTTTCAATCTCTCTCTCTTTTCCCCCCTAAAAATCAATCACTCTATTTTTCCCATGAGCCTTTCTATTTTCAATGTATAATTCTGTAGAACACAAGCTTTTCAAGTAGAGAAACATCTCACATTCGAACAAATTCCTCCACTAAAGGGAATACTTCAGGAAACAAGATAATTGTCTCAGGTGAAAGGTGTAAGATGCCATAATGAATGATGATCAAAAAATAGGTAAGTAAGTGGGTAATTCTGAACAAACATTAACTGTAGAAAAGAAACAATAATAATGTTTTTCATTCAAGGCAGAACTATAATACTGGAGTGTGATTGTTCAAGTATTCTCATGTTCCTGTGAGGAGGGTAAAGATAGTGACTGTTTCTCTTTTTAATATTAACTAGTGAGATATTTATGGTAAAATTTTGAAGAAAAATAAGGAAATGGTAAAAAAAAAGAAAAAACAGGACAGTTCCTTTTGACAGTATGAAGAGAAATGGGGATGGGATTAGGAGGGGTTCACATAGGTGGATTCAAACCCACTGGTAACATTCTACTTCTGAAGATGGTAATTTCCTGGTTGTTCATATTACTGATGGTCTTCAAACTCACACGTGGTTATAAGTATTTGTGTGTGTGTGTGTGTGTGTGTGTGTGTGTGTGTATATATATATATATTCAATGTTTGTTTTAAAATTTTTAGATTATATTAAAACCTGCATATAACAACTTAATAGAAACCAATTTTCCTGGTTTGTTTCAGTTACCATGGTGGTTCTTTTGTGGGCTGCAGTTTGGTCAATTACTGGCAGCGAATGCCTTCCTGGAGGAAACCTGTTTGGAATCATAATCCTTTTCTATTGTGCTGTCATTGGAGGTAAACTTGTGGGGCTTATTAAGTTACCTACATTGCCTCCACTGCCTCCTCTTCTTGGTAAGTGTTAAATACTTCCTGTCTTTTTCAGAGTAAATCATGTTTTAAGAATATAGTGTGGAAACCTTTGAGAAATAAAGGAATAAACTATTTCTGGATTTTCTGAGCAGGAGCTAAAAACTGATAGTTTAACTTTGAGGACTTTTGTGATCCAGTTGTGAAAAATGGAGGTATCAAAACATTAAGTTATATATGAGGCCTGTCCGGAAAAAGTCCAACCATTATTAATATAATAAGAACAGTTTGCATGACATAGATGCAACCTGGCAGCCAAGGAGAGTGGACTGCAATGCACATGCATGAACAATGATCACTTCACTGTACTAGTCAGTGGGGGCAGTAGTACCACTGAGCGAGCATGTGTACTGTGTGGCCATCACAATCAAAATGACTGAATGAGTAGAGCAACAAATCTGCATCAAATTTTGCATTAAGCTTGAACATTCCTCTGTGGAAACTATTCAGATGATTCAGAAGGATACAGCTATGGGCAACTGGTGATTGGCAGCCTCAACACGACAATGCACCTGTTCATGCATCATGTCTCTTTCAAGTTTTTTTGGTGAAACATCAAATCATACATGTGACTCAGCCCCCCTACCGCACAGATTTGGCGCCCTGCCACTACTGGCTTTTCCCAAAACTAAAATCACCTTTGAAAAGGAAGAGATTTCAGACAGTCGACGAGATTCAAGAAAATACGATGGGGCAGCAGATGGCAATTGGGAGAACTGTGTAAGGTCCCAAGATGCCTATTTTGGAGAGGACTGAGTCATCATTGTCCTATGTACAATAGTTCTTGCATCTTGTATCTTCAATAAAGGTCTCTTTCATATTGCATGGCTGGATACCTTCTGGACAGACCTTGTATATGGTACTTAAAGTTGGGTAACTTGCATTAAATACATGAACAGTAAATACTTAAAACCGATACTAAGTATTTTACTACATTTCCCCTTACTTCTGCTCTTAAGATTATGGAAATGCTATATAATGGTGTGGCACTACCCATCTCTTCCCAGCTCCACATTCAGTGACATCATGTTCATAAGCTTAACATGGGCCAGGATGGAAGTATTTATAATGCAGAAATCAGCAAATGCTGCAAATCAGGACTTGGAAGTTCTGATATATATTTTTATTGTTTCATCTTATTCATTAACAAACAAAATTAACAACCAACATTTAGGGTGACACTATTACTCGCTTAGCAGTGGTGTAAGTGACTTCTTTGCTAAATTTTTTCATTAAGGACTTGCTTCAAGAATAACTTGGGAGTATTTGAAATAAAATTGGACTTTTGTTGATAATTTTTACATATTTTTTAAAAATTTCGTAATAGAAATTAAGAAAAAAGAATACTCTTTTTCAAAGAAGGTGTTCTTTTCCTCTATGACCAAGGGAGAGGCTCCTGTGGGCTTAGAGGCAAGAAGGGGACACCTGCCAAATCACAGTCATTTGGCCACATCAACCCAGACCACTGGCCAAGGAAACGATGTCCCAGGGAAACTGCTGTCACATTCATTCGGAGAATAAAAAGTTTTCCTTTATCTCCCACTAAAACTCCTAAAGAAACTCTTGACATATTTTTGAGTTCTTGTAAGGTTATTATTCCTTTGGATTTCAGGTAGTTATGTGCTATAATCAGCCTAGGACTGGTTTAGATCAACATTCTAAGTTTCAATAAGAAACTATTGACATATTAATGAAATGTAAGGTTAGTGCAGCATTTTGGGCTGGTAATTCATCAATATGTATAAAAATGATATCCATACCTGTACCCTAGAGCCTAACATTTCCACTGCTGTGAATTGTCCTGGGGATATATTTGCACAAACCTGCAAATGTATAAGCTCCATATTAACAGGGACCATGTTGGTCTAGTTCACCTGTGTGTTACAAGGGTACCATAAAAGTCTGGCACGCAGTAGGCACTTAATAAGTATCTGATGTGTGAACTGGTACATGAATTGGCCCCAAAATTATGATATTTTCAAACAATGAGATACTATTTTGACTATTAAAAAGGATAAGGCAAATATAGATGTGCTTTGTTGGGAATATGTTCAGAATACATGGTTAAGTGGAAAAAAATATAAATTGTACCATGCTATAAAAATGTGCTCCCAATTGAGTCCAACACAGAGTGCATGCGCATGCACATAAACACAGTGGTGTACTTAAGCAGGTAAAGAAAGGTTCTGGAAGGGCACAGAAAACACTTTGCAGTGGAAACTTTTGGGAACGAAGATGGAAAGTTACATGTGGGGTTGGGCATATACTTGTTCCTTTACTACTGTCTGTAATGTTTTGATTTTACCATGAGGATATATTATGCTGATCACTAATCTTTTAAAAAGAGCTATTATAGGCTAGTTCATACTCTCAAAAATTCTAGAAAGACCATGACTTCAGAATTCAGAACTTTGAGACTTCTTCTAGATTAAATGGCAGCACTGCGAGATGCCTGGGGATGAGTTCAGCTTCCTGGCCTGGAGGTATCTGGAGCAAGTCACAAAAAGCTGTGCTTGTAATTCATCTCCATTCCCATAGCATACGTACAGAACACAACTCTAGTAGATGTGTTTAGTCATTTAACGTGTGGTGCATATAAGGACATAGTGAGAAGAGGGCCCTGCTGGAGAAGAACGGAGGGCAGAAACCTCCCAGTGCCCGACGGAGCACTTTCCCTTGGTATGAATGTGTGATGTCAACGAGGGCAAAATTCTTTCACAGCAGCTGAGCTTCCTCAGTCACACTCAACCTCTTGTAAATTCCAGATTATGTCACACTTTCTCTTCAGACCTTGGGAGAAACTTCTGTGTCTTCCAGAAACTTCTCAACTCCCCCACCCCATGTCCTTCCCCCTTCCCTTCCTTTGGACTCCTGTGACTCACCCTCTGTCTCAGCTTATACTTACAGGTCCATAATATTGAGACTGTCTGTCTTACTCCCTTACAGTCTGAAAGCTTGTTTAGGTGCAGTGCCAAGTCTTTGTTCATTATTATCTCAAATACCTACCACAGTGTCTCAGATACTGAAGACATTGGTATGTGCTGAATTATTGAACGGAAGGAGGCGCTTCTAAGCCTTCGTAAAGCAGGTTGTGTTTTTTTTATTAAATTATCTGGTTTGAAGGTAAAATAGAGTCCCATATAGGCATTTATTAATATTTCAGGTAATCTGACATGGCAAATGATTTCAGGAACTGCTTGCTGCTTGCACAGAAAGAGATGACTGAATTGGGCATTTTATTAAAACATTTTATATTTAGAATTTGATCACAGTTTCCAGTACTGCATCCTATTTCTCTTTCAGTTTCAGTTATTCTGATAATCATTTTCATCTTTTTTTCTATCTGCATATTAAAGCCTTTTGTTAGCTCCTTTATCATATTAATTTTTAAATTAAAGCTTAATATAATTTTATCTAAGGACTAAGCATAAAGGAAGTAGTTCCTGGGATTAAAGAGTAGTCTCCTTCACATGTAAAGTGCCAAAAAGTATTTTCTGTATTTGAAAACTAAAGAACTGTTTGACTTCTCCATTCCAGGCATGCTGCTTGCTGGGTTTCTTATAAGAAATATCCCTGTCATCAGTGAGAATGTGCAGATCAAGCACAGGTGGTCTTCTGCTTTGAGAAGCTTAGCCCTGTCTATTATATTGGTTCGTGCTGGCCTTGGACTGGATTCAAAGGTATTGAAGTTGTAAAATTCTAACTACTGACTATGAATTTTTTTTTCCGCCAATGCTGCAAGTATTAGAATCACAGCTTTAGAAAATGGGTATGGACAGTTTGCATGGCATTCTCAAGAAGACAACGGAATTTATTTCATGCAGGACTATCCCCAGATGTTCCCATATTCTTTTTATGGAGGAAGATAGAGTTACTGTCTGCTTGGGGACAGCACAAAGAATAAAGCCCCCCCTTTCTCTGTCAAAGGTATAGGCCATAGTTACAAATAATGATCATGAGAGAAACATCCTATTTTTGAAGCCCAAAGCCCTATACAGGCATTCAGGGCTAGCTATACTGACTTTGGAAACTGCCTAGAATATAGAATGAGTCTCAAGTATGCTTTTCTAAAGTGATTTTAATCATATGTGTTTTTGAATATGGGAGTGAATATTTTGGGGGATGAAGGTAGTTAACTTAGGTTCATTCTGGGGCCACAAATGATACATAAAGCAACACCAAGAAGATTAAACCTACCTGGATTCAAAACTAGCTCCACCATGATCTTGGTGGATCATGATCCACCAAGTTCCATGATCTTGGGCAAATGACTTTAACTTGTACCTTTTCAGATGAGGACATCTAAAAATTGTCGTAGTAATATTACCTACGTTAAAGGGTTGCTATGATGACTAAATAAGGTATCTCTAAAACATTAAGAACACTGAAATGTTTGTGAAATAAAACTCATTACCTGGAAACTTCATGATGATCCAGACATGGCCTGAATACTGAAGAAAAAGAATTTAGTGTCATCTTCTCTGTGTGTCTTTAGAAGATCATTATAATATGCCTATTTTTATATTTCAGGCCCTGAAGAAGTTGAAGGGTGTTTGTGTACGATTATCGATGGGTCCTTGTCTTGTGGAGGCATGCACGTCCGCTCTTCTTGCCCACTTCCTAATAGGTTTACCATGGCAATGGGCATTTATACTGGGGTAATGATTTTGCCTTGTATGAAAATATGCGCGGCCATGTAGGACTTTCTCTGATTCTATACAAGAGAATGCATAACAGTGTTTTCTTAAGGATATCAGAAAATACAATATGGATATTCCAGCATAGTATTATGACTATTAATATTCCAACACATAAATATTATAACTTCAAAATATAGTGCTCATCTTTGTCGGTACTAACTTGTAGAGTGGTTATGATAATTTGCACTCTTGAGGAATAAAACACTTTTATCTATACCTGATTCCATGCTGGTGAGAGAGCTGCTGGGTCTCCCCTCAAAGTCTGCACAAAGAATAATAAATACATCAGCAGCGATCAACACTGAGCACTGTTTTCCTCCTTCTGTACCAGACTATTGTGATTAGGTGATTCTGCTCTCTCTTCCTTCCACTGTCAGTTCTTATTTCAAATGGCTAAGGGCCAGGAGAGGAGAATAAATATAAATTGCTAGTAGAAATTTAGTGCAAGTACGTAGGCAAGAAGTTAGTTATCATTTCTCATGGTTAAGCCTCTGGAGCCATACTGCCTGGACTCAAGTCCTGGCTCTGGGACTCTCCAGTATGTGATCTTTAGCAAGCTACCTAATCTCTCTGTGCCTCAGCATCATCATCTGCAAAATGAACAGGATGATTGTAACTGCCTTATAGAGTTGTTATGGGGATTAAATTATTTAAAATATATATAAAAAACTTATAATGGTGTTTGGCACATAGTAAGTACTGTAAAAGGCTTCTGCTGTTACTACTGCTGCTATCCTTTATATCGCTGTCATTGTGAGTATGGCATTCCCCTTCTAATATGTTGTCTCATCTTACATACCAAGCCCTGATAGAAGATTCCTGATGGAAGAATCACTGGATCCCAATCTGAAAATCCATGGCCGTGTTTTTTAAAACTTATGCCATGAATGTTTTTTTTTTTTATTTTAAAGGGAGATTCCTGGGGCCTAACCCTATTAGGTCTTCCAGACCAGCAGTCCCCAACCTTTTTCGCACCAGAGACCAGTTTCATGAATGATAGTTTCTCCACAGATGGGGCAAAACTTAGCTCACTGTCCTGCCATTCCATCTCCTGCAGTGCAGCCCGGTTTCTGACAGGCCACAGACTAGTACCGGGCCTCATCCTGAACAGGGGACCCCTCTTCTAAAATATATATATATATATTTTCCACCTGGACACTTCCATATATATATGCATGCAACTAAAGTGCTTGCAGTACAGGTTGTTCATGGCCACAATTTGTAAAAAAAAAAAAAAGTGTTCTGTAGAAATTGTATATGCATATGTTTTTCTGGTTTGATGCATTACTGCCATTTGAAAGACTATCTTAAGTGTGTCCTCTAAAAAAAGTAGAGGTTATTGTAATTTCAATAATGATGATGATGATGATGATAAGATAGTATCAAAAATGTTTAAAGTGCCGCCTGCTTAGTTTCGTTTTAGGTGCCGTCTCTCCAGCAGTCGTGGTGCCTTCAATGCTCCTTTTGCAGAAACAGGGTTATGGTGTTGAAAAAGGTGTCCCAACCTTACTCATGGCTGCTGGCAGCTTTGATGACATTCTGGCCATCACTGGCTTCAACACATGCCTGGGCATGGCCTTTTCCACAGGTAAACTGATCAGTTCACAGTGTGCTGATCTCTTGAGTTCTGGAGACAGATTATAATGAAGTAAGTGTTCCATATTTGCTTGATGATTAAGGCAAATTACTTTTTTCAATTTTTTTATTTTTAAATCATGTTTATTCTATTACAGTTTCTCAATTTTTCCCCCTTTGCCCTCCTCCACCCATCCTACCCTGCCCCCTCCCACAATCAGTTCCCACTCTGTTGTCCATGTCCATGGATCCTTCATACATGTTCTTTGTTTAGTTCCTTCCCCTTCTTTCCACCATTGTCCTCCTTCCCCATCCCCTCTGGTCACTTTCAGTCTGCTCCATGTTTCCATGCCTGTGGTTTATTTTGTTCGTTAGTTTATTTTGTTGAATAGAGAAATTAAAATAGAGAAAGCAACTCCAGAATTAGTTCCTTACTTGAAGGGGAGCCAGTAGCTTCCTACCTTTACTCCCTTCGCTATCCAGACAGACTGTTCAAGCAGCATGGGAAGTGAATGAATGAAGGGGAGGCGGTGCAAGGTAACAGAGTTTAAAGAAAGAGAACAGCTTCTGCATGGAGCCATCTAGGAAAGTTGAATCTGGAGACTTCACGCAAGGGCTGAGTAGGTTTTTCAATAAGAAAAATAACAGAGAAGTGTCCAGGTGGAAGGAACAATTTCTGTTCTCTCATTTTTAAAATTTTATGGTCACAAACAATGATTTTAATGAGTGTCTCATTAATACTTAATTATTGTCTGATTTTAGGTATATTTTGTTTTAAGTAGTAATAAAGGAGAAACACCTTTGAAAGTTATGTATTCTCTCTATAGTTCCCTGAAGTTATCTTAACCATTTTATGGTTATATATGATTTATACCGATTACCTTGTACCTCACCTCTTCTTATTGCCCCAGTTGCTTTTTACATCCAGTCCCTGCCATGTATCACTAATAAATTAATCTTTTCAAAACATGGCTTTCATAATGTTACTTTCTTGTTCAAGAACCAATGATGATTCCCTACTACCTATTAAATCAAATCTGTGCTGTTGTCTTTATTTTAACTGTACTTATCTAAACTTATGTTCTCGCTGCTTTCCTGGTCTACACGTTTAAAACAATGGGTCTCAGCCTCAGATGCTCCCTAGTGTCGTGGTAGGAAACATCCACACCTGCAGAGAATCTTTATGCATTTATATAAGCCAAACTAACAATAATGTCTGGGAAGCAAAATTAAACCAATTGAGAAAATGCTCTGGAGAATAGCAGTTTTACTGCTTATTTCATACATTAGAATCAAAGCAGCAACTGCAAGGCAAGGAGGTTACATGAAATTTATTGATGATAGATCAGGGATGCAAGAGAAAGCAAAGAGGCAAAATCTCTGAGATTGGATAAAGAGTAAAAGGAGAGAAACATACTTCTTTTACATTGGTGGATACAGGATAGTTAACAATGAACTTGTACAGCATACGGAGATGGTGTGCAGAGAACAAGATAAAAATGAGGGCTTCTGTGATCTGGTGGGGGGTTGTGCTCTGAGGAATCTGGAGAAGGAGATTACTCTGGCATTTCAAAGGTATGTTATCTTAAATGCAGAAAGACAATAGACAGGTTCTTCAAGGTAAAGACTGACCTTCCTCAAGAAAGCTATAAGCCAAGGATGTGAGTACCTACAGTGACCTTCTTTTAGTTAGGCATTTTTATTAGACCATCCTATGTGATTATTTTCGGCCTCTGAGTCCGTAAAGCCTGACTTGCAGGCTTCCCCTGAGTTTGTCTGGTTTAGTATATGGCCCCTTTTTTGTCCACACTAGAATTGCCTGGAGTGGGGGGTTAAAAAATACATATATATGGGGCCCATCTTAGACCAATTAAACCCAAACCTTTAAGAATTGAAAACACGGATACAGAGTGTTAAAGAAAATAATCAAGTAAAGTAGAAGATCTAATTGCTTTATTATATGACTCATGAATTGGGCAGCATCCCATTTAGCAGCTAGATAGAAGGGCACTCTAAGGGTGGTAAAAAATGGAAGATTGTTATAGGGTGAAGGGTAGGGCAAATGAACCATTACTAAAACAAAAATGGATTATTTTTAGACCAGACTGTGTTTTCTTTTGAGTTGGGGAGGGAAGACAAGGATTTATATTTTGCAGATTGACTTTTCGTTCTCGTGGTGGGGGGTGGCAGGTAGAGAGGGCCCACATGAAAGGATTCCTCCTTGATGTTGACCAGGAAATTCAAGACTGATTGAATAAGATTAAATTTCTGAGAGATGTTGAGACTGCAGTTAAATCAGGTATTAAGTCAGGGTTTGGTATCATGGGCTTTAGCACAAGTGACACCATTGTGGTCCTATGGTTTTGTCTTAAACAAGAGCAACAGACTTTGCATTAAACTCATGGGGGAGGGGGAAGAGCTGGGGCAAGGAAAACAGTTGGGAGGGTTTGCTTCAGTGTTCATAATGGGGGGGGGGAGGATGAGGGGAGTGAACTCTAGGGATAGATTGAAAAACGTTCCTTGTTGACAATGTTACATTTCCTCTGCCTGTTCCCCTATGTGTGGTCCTTAGTCCTTTTGGATGGGAACTACCTCGGGTCTCTTTAAATTGTGTATCCCAAGACCTGCCAGACTTACTGAATCAGAATTTCAGAGATGGAACCCAAGAAGTCTTTAGAGAAAAAAAACCCAACATTACTGTACAAGAGTCTGAAAGTAACTGGCACTTTCTGCACATTTATAGTAAATTATTCACTGTAATAGGTCAAGACATATGGTATTATCACATACTTCTGACAGTCATACTTTGCCTAACAGAGAATTGTCTGAACTAAATAAAGTTACTACAAAGGTATTATATTTTTAAATAAGAGAGGTGATTGAAACTGTAGGGGAAGAAAAACTGCTTTACCTCTACCTATTTTAGGTTCCTTGGCTGGGGCCCTATAAATTAGATTGACTAAAAATAGATTAACAGAAGGAAAATAGTTTATACATGTATGTTGTGGTACATTCAGATGGGAGTACTCAGTGATGAGTAACTGAACGGAGTGGTTAAAATTTGGGCTTATGTGGCATCTTAGCAAAGAACAGTAATTTTGTAGAGAATTGCCAGACAAAGGGTAGGGACTTGGAACTTTTAGGGCAGCAGATTATGGAAAAGCAGATATATGAGAAAACTAATGGTAGATAAGGGCTGGTCTTAGCAAAAATTGTTATGTAGATTCCTCTGGTGCCATCTCTGAGCCTATGAGACCCGGGTGGTCTCAGTGATTAACTTCAGGCCTTCCTGGTACAGAGAGGAGGGACACCTTTACAAATTTGTAGCCTTTACAAATCATTTTAAACAAATGGAGGGAGCACAGGGGACTTTTTGTGTATCTGCTTCTTCTCAATTTCCTTCAGCTCAAAATAATCCTTATGCCAAAGTAGCATTCTTTGGGATAGCATAGTCTGTGTCCTTCACCACGATAACAAGAAACCACAATAATTTGTTAGTACTTTATTCTTAGAATAGTATGTGAAGAAAAGCTTTATGTGTTGAGCAATTTTAATATAATTTTCTGTACAATGTGCTAACAAGATTTTTTTCATCAAAGTGTTCTAAATCTTCTATGCTGGGGTGGAAAGTTACAGGTTCTTCTTACCTCTGTATATTGTAATATTTCAAAGAAGCTAGACTTCAAAGAGCAATCTCAAAAATAATTTTAAAATTTTTTTAAGTTACAGTTATACAGTTATTCAAAGTCAATATGAGTTATTACAGTTATTTTGTATTAGTTTCAGATGTATAGCCTAGTGATTAGTCAGTGATGTAATATACAAAGTGATCCTCCCGTTAATTCAAGTACCCACCTGGCACCTTTCATTGTTTTTACAATATTGACTATATTCTCTATGCTGTACTTTACATCCTTGTGACTATTAAAAATTAAATTTTTCTCAGATTTACTTTTAGAATAAACATTGGAGGGATTTACCCCTATACTCATTGTAGTAAGAAAAGAATCTTGATTTCAACTACCAGATTATTAAATTACTGTATTCTATACATATCATAGCTACTCAAAATCAATGTACATTTATTATTTAAAAAATGGCAATTTAAAAGCTAGATCTGTCTACGTACCCAGCCTGTGCATACAATGTAACAGAACAAATTATCTCTGAATCATGAATTTTACCTTTCATGTTTTCTTGGGCTCTTTAAATAAATTTTCATGGAAGTAGACATACAAAAATGCACACAAGTCATAGCTTATGTCTGTTTTGAAATTTATTTCCCATATCATACTTTTCTGATAAGTCTATTAGACACTTTATGTCATGTATTGAAGCACGTAGAGATCAGGAAATATCCATATACTCTTCCTTCAGTGTAATTTGATGCTTTATGCTGGTGTTTAAAGTCAAGTCTTTTTTATGGATTTAGAGTTCTGTCTAAAGTTTTACTTTTTTATACATTTGTAAGGCTCCACAGTTTTTAACGTCTTCAGAGGAGTTTTGGAGGTGGTAATTGGTGTGGCAACTGGATGTCTTCTTGGATTTTTCATTCAGTACTTTCCAAGCAGTGACCAGGTAAAAGAAACAATCTGTGGGAAAGTCGTGCTCTGAATTGTTATCGGAAAAACATTCTGGAGCACTCCCTTCAAAGTCAATATGAGGAACATAACTTAGAAAATGGCCCTCCATTTTCAAACTGCATATCTTAACAGTGCTGTCTATGAGTTTTATGAAGAGGACAAAATGTATGAGATTTTAATGCAGTCCTAAAAGTTTTTTTCTCTAATTTGTTTTCTGTACATTTCAAATTTCACTATAAAACAAATAACATCAATTCCAAAATGATAAGATATGCAAGTTTTTAAATCTTTATTTTTATTTTACTATTTCTACTTATTTTTATTTATAATTCATAATAGAGAACTAGAAAAAATATTTCAAAAATTTATATGGAACCACAAAATGCCCCACACAGCAACAGCGATCCTGAGAAAGAAGAATAAAGTTGGAGGAATCATGCTACCTAATATCAAACTGTACTATAAGCCCATAGTAATCAAAACTGCCTGGTAATGGCACAAAAACAGACACACAGAACAATGGAACAGAATAGAGAGCCCAGAAATAAACCCATACCTATAAGTCAATTAATATTCGACAGAGGAAGTGAGCACATACAAGGGGCTAAATATAGTTTATTCAATAAATGGTGTTGGGAAACTTGGACAGATATATCCAGAAAAATGAAACTAGACCACCTTCTTACACCACACACAAGAATAAATTCAACATGAATCAAAGACTTAAATGTTAGACCCAAAACCATAAAAATCTTAGAATAAAACATAGGTAGCAAAATCTTGGATATAGTATGCAGACATTTTTTATCGGATATGTCTCCCCAGAAAAAATTAAGAGAAAAATTAAAAAATGGGACGACATCAAACTAAAGAGTTTTTGCACAGCAAGTTAAACAACAAAAGAAAAAGACAACCCATAGAATGGGCGAACACATTTGCCGATCCATCTGATAAGGGATTAATATCCAAAATTTATAAAGTGCTTATAAAACTTAATACAAAAAAATAATAATAACCCAATTAAAAAATGAGCAAAGGATCTGACTAAACACTTATCCAAAGAGGACATACAGATAGCAAACAGTCATATGAAAAGATGCTCAATGTCACTAGTCATCAGAGACATAATACTCAACTGAATCAAGATATAAAATGGCTGTTTGAGCTTTTTTTTTTTTTTGGAATTAAAATACCTTAGGTTCTAATACTATCATATAGGTAGACCTTACTAACATTTTATAGCAATATTGCCCAATATTTCTAACCAAGGAGATCAAAGTTCTTTACTGGTTACAAGGCTTTCTTAATATAAAAAACACCTTTTTTTCTATAAGAATTGGCATTTTGAAGATTTCAGAGCATTTTGAACAGATTCAAAACTTAAGTAGAACTTGAAGAAAATTAATATTTCCATTATCAGTATGTTGATCTGAATTTTCATTGTGCTCCATAAAACTCCAAGTAAAATTGTCTTGTGAAAGACAATAGTGAAAAATCTTGTGAAATTGTTTTTGTATGCGTAAAAGGAAATGGCAGGATCTTTCTAATTACACAACCAAATAAAGAGAAAAATGTGTGTAAAGTGCTATGGTAACTTCATTAAAGTGCCACTCTTCAATATGGCAGCCACAAGCTACACGTGGCTATAGCAGATACAGAGCATTTCCATGGACAGTGCAGTTATAGAAATTTCCATTATTACTGGCTGTTCTATTGGGAAGCACTGATCCAGTAGAATTCACACAATAACCCATGACGAGAGTACTATTCATAAGCCATTTTGCTGATATGGAAATCAAAACTTAGGGAGAAGCGACTCGAACAAGGTCACATAGCTAGAATGCTGTGGAGCTGGAAATGAAAGGCTGAACAGCGAAAAGTAAAGGGAAAGTTACACATTTCTAAAGACATTAAAAATCAACAACAAACATAAATAAAAATAAAACTCAACAACCACAAAAACATTACTCTGTCAATAGCCTCTTAAAGCTTTTTGGTATTTAAGGATTTAGAAATAAAAACCCTAAGCGCATAACATTAAAGAGCAAACAGAGAACCTAAAAATAACATATCATATCTGTATCCTTTACAAAAAGCCTGTGATGTAATAGCTTTCAGGAAAGAGGAAATAAAGGTTGGAGAGGCTTGGGAATGTGCCACACATATGCCAGTGATGTGAAAGAACTAGAACTTTAACCCTGGTTTGTCAGGCTCCGAAAGCCATTGTGCTTTTTTCTACTCTTCCATTCGACCCTGTAAAATTCTGCATTGATAACTGCAGAGGAAACTAACTCTTATTCCTGAAAGAGGAAACCATATTTGCACATGTGCTATCTCTACTTTTGCTAAGTAATGGAAAGTAAATGTTGTGTCATGTATTTATGTGTACAGATACAGACATTTTTATTTTCCATCAAGTCTTGAAGATAGAAACATCAGTAACTAAAAATCCATTATGTGAAATAATTGAGCTAATTAAACTTTTTCTCCTCAAGGGCAAACTTGTGTGGAAGAGAGCCTTCCTTGTTTTGGGGCTGTCTGTGCTAGCGGTGTTCAGCAGCGTGTACTTTGGTTTCCCTGGTTCAGGAGGACTGTGCACTCTGGTCATGGCTTTCCTTGCAGGGCTGGGATGGACCAGCCAAAAGGTGAGTTGCATTTTTAAGTCCTTCTCATAACTACTTTTCTCATTATATCAGTTTTTCTTTCTGATGCTTTCTAAACATCAGATTAATAAAATTATTTTATCATAAAAGCTATTTTCTCTGCATATATAAATGTATGCCCAAAGTCACACACACACACATTTTCTCTACTCAGATACAAATCTATAACTTGATATCTTCACTTAAAATATATCATAGTCATATTTCCCCAATACCTTTCTTATTCTTTGTAAGGGCTGCAGAGAAGCCCTTTTATGGCTATACTATACTTTATTAAACCGGTCGCTTACTCACACACATTTAGATTGTTTCCCGTTTTCTGCTAAACAAAAGGTGCTTCAATAAAATATACTTATTTATGCCATATTTCATAAACCCTAGGCACTATCAAGTTTAAGAAGAAAAAGAATGTTGCCAATTAAACTATGACATGACATCCTAATTTCAGAAATGTTTAAATGTGAAAAAATGTGTGTCTTAAAATCAACAAAGGATAGCATATCTTTGAGTTTATCTACAGGATAAACTTCTAGAAATAGGATTGCTCTATGAAAGTGGATTCACATTGATTTTTTTAATTTTCTTTTTCATTTCTAGTTTACATTCAATATTATTTTGTATTAGTTTCAGATGTACAGCATAGTGGTTAAATAATCCTAAAGATACTTTACAAAGTGCTCCCCCCAATATTTCCAGTACCCACCTGGCAACATACATAGTTATTACAATATTATTGACTATTATTATGAGGGTATCAGTTTTCCCTTTTAAAAGGCTATACCATACGGATAGGTAAAAAAATGGTATCTTGATTGCTATTTCTTTGATTAGAAGAAATATATTTAACTACTTGTATTTTTTCATTTTTTTGATATGTCTTTTGTCCATTTTCTTCTGAAGTTTAATGTATTGATTATTGATCTGAAAGACACATACAGGCACGTATACACACACACATATATATGAGTTTAGCCCTTCATGCCTTTTTATATTGTTCATTTTTCACACGTAATTATATTTTCATGTGGTAAGATCTAGAAGACTCTTATGACCTTTCCTCAATACATTTTTTTCCTGAAAAATATCTTTAACATCTTACATATGTTATCTTATTTATTTTTTGCAATAACCTTGATAAATATATATTCGACCCACTATGTAGATGAGAACATGAAGGCTTAAAGATATCAGACAGATTGCGCAAGGTCACAAAGCTAATAAGTGGCAGAGCCAAGAATACAACACAAGTTTTGATTACAGAGAGTCCCTGACCACCGTGGTTTGACTTAATAATTTTTCGACTTTACGATAGTGCTGAAGTAAAACACATTCAGTAGAAACTCTACTTGGAATTTTGAATTTTGATCTTCTCCTCTGCTAGTGATACCAGATACTTAGGATGCTGGGCAGTGGCAGCGAGCCTCAGCTCCCAATCCACCACACGATCACGAGAGTAAAACAATCGATACCACTAGGTTGCCAGCATTTTTTGGATATTGCGTGTTATGTTTTTGTAACCCATCATGTAAATGAAACACCATCTGTGTCTCCTGCTTCTGGTGAGAAGAAGAGGAAGACAATTACTCTTGAAAAGAAACTAAAGCTAATTGCTTAACTGTAGGCCAACATACATGTCCTGAGCACCTTTAAGACAGACTAGGCTAAGCTACGATGATGTTCAGTAGTTCAGGTCTGTTAAGTGAATTTTCCACTTTAATGGGCTGTCGGGACATAGTCATGTCATAAATCAAAGAGCATCTGTTTACCAAAATATTTCCCTAAGTAAAGGAAAGAAAATGAATCTTCATTGAGTCAGTTATGTGGCAAGCACTGTGCCTATCTTTTGTATTTTAGTACTCAGGAAAGTCCCTGCTTCTGGAGGCACCAGTTCAATGAGTCCAGATGTTGGACTTCTTTCCTCCCTTGGTCTGTAATATAGCACAGGGTCAAGAGCTCTGACTGCTTGGGCTAATCTAAGCTGTACAATTTTGTAGCTGTATTATGACTTACCAGTTACCTAACTTCTCAGCCTTCAATTTCTGTACCTCTAAAGTGTGTATGTGGGGGAAGGAGGGAGATAATAGCAACTTCTGGAGTGCAGGATTAAGTGAAATAAATAATCTACATAAAGTGACATGCTTAATCATAGAATGCGCTCAGCAAATAATAGCCCATATTACTTCTGGAACTACTTCCAGAGTGGCACAACGGAGTAAAAAGAGCATAAAATTTAAAATATAGAGATTGGGATTCCAATCCCAGTTCTACTACTCTCTAGATGGAAATCCCAAAAAGTCACTTACCTTCTCTAATACTCAGTTTTCTCAACTAAAAAATGAAGAAAATAATAATATCTAAAGAATTCTTGTGACTATCATATGGGAAAATGGAAATGAAACACTTATAAACTTAACAGTGCTATAGCAATATTATTGTGTTATATTTTGAAAAGCTAAAATACTTTATAAAATTCTGTTTATGTGTATAGTTTTATGACATAATTTCACACTTTTATGCTTAGTTTTCCATATAATCATTAATCTTGCCATTTCTTGTATTCAAATGCACTCACCTTTAAAAAGGCTCTTTCATGTATTTTTTTTTTCCATTTATTTTCAAATCCAGTGCTTCCTCTGATGACATTTGTAGTTATGGGATTTTCTTTTCCTGATACAGTTTGGATCTTCTGAATCTTGAAATGTTCTAAGGAGAGAAGGATCAGTTTAAGGATATATTTAACTCCACTTCTCTTCACTTTCTCCTTTTGTCCATCTTTGAAAAAGAGTTATATGTTTGAAGATTCCTACCAGTGGTGCATACAGATGTGTAAAGTGGCCTTAACTTTCCATGGACAGCCCAGTCTTCGTTCCTCTAGGTCTTCTTCTTTTATACTTAGCCTATTCAGGTGGCCTGTTTTCTTTATAAACAGATTCATTTTAGTATTGAAGTAATAAAAAAGCCACAAGACAATACATTGGCAGAACTAGTCATTGTCCTTAAATGATGAAGGATATTGTATGTTATCTAATATAGACCTCTTGTTTTGCAGATAAGAAAAATGAGGTGCTGAGTGGCAAGTGGCTTACAGTTAATGGGTAGCAGGATTTGAACCTAAGTCATTACCTGATTCCTTATGATGCAAAAAAACAACTTTTTGCATGCTATAGGAATACTACTTAAATAAACCAACCAACTCCCTCATATATGTTCTCTTTCAACATTTATAAGCCAAGGGAAATAGAATATTTACCCTAATAATGCATCAGATAATAAAACAAAGAAAATAGAGAAACTGTGTAATCCTCCTTCGTCAAACTGCTTAATACCAAATACACGGAAGTACAGATCCTTAAAGATGTGTAACTATAAAAATGTCATCCAAAAATATGGTTTCTTATTAGTTGATTGAAAAAATCTGTTAAATGTAAATTCTTTAACACTGTAATGGGTACTGATAAATTGCCTCCCAAGAAAAGCATTATCAATTTGCTCTCCTACCAATTACTAAGTTTCCTTAAAAATATTACAAGTACTTGACATTAAAACTTGTTAGTATATTTTCCAATGTGATTCCCCCCCCATAAAAATATGGTATATCATTTTAATATCTGTTTCTCTGATTACTCAGTTTTAATTTTTATTTATTTATTTATTTATTGCCATGTGTTTCTTACTGTTCCTCCTGTGAAATACACTGCCCATTTTTCTATTAGGTCTATGTCTTTTTCTTGTTGACTGGATATTGCTCCTTATACTGTTATACTTAGTACAGATATTTCTCCTGGTTTATCACTTTTTGGTTTTGGTTTTGGTGGGGGCCAGGGGAGGTTTGTTTTGGTTTTTTTGTTGTTGGGTTTTTGGGGGCGTTTTTTTGTGGGGTTTTTTTGGCCATGGACATTTTAGTTATACCTTTGTAATTGTGTCAATACTTTCCTAGGGTTTTTGCATTATGTGTTATAAAGTTAGTACTTATAAAGTTAGGGTCTTATCAGGACAGAGAAATCACATAGTGACTGGAGTACGGAAAGTTTATTATTAACTAGATATTATAAGATATAAAGAGACCTCTAAAGAATACACGAATAGCAGCTATAAACTGCCAGGGCTCATATGGAGGATCCTGTTCCACCACTCCACTCCACCTACTCCTGCCCACAGAGCTGAGAATCCAGACCTTTTTTAGAACTTTGGTTCACTGGAGGGCAGAGAACTCATTGCCATACCCTGCCTGCAGAATTTGCCAGAAGTCAACCCTCCAAATTTCCATGAAACCCACCGCCTAGCGTACATGGGAAGGTATATTACCCAAGGGAGTTGGCTATGAAACCACCCCAGGAGCAGGCTGGGGGAAGCTGCTGGCCACCTAGAAGGGTCCTGGCACTGGAAAAGCCACCTGGGCTGCAGGAGCCGGGTGCTGTAGGACGCCGCTGGAGGAGCCACTGAAACCAAGAGCACCTTCCTCTGAAAATATCTCTTCTGCGCCCTCTACTGACAAGATTTAATATGGTGCTCGCTAGCGAAGGAGAAATTTAAGGGACCGGCTCCATTTTCTGCGGAGCAACAGTAAAAGCAGACAAGGAGCAATAAATTAATAACTGGAACAGCACTTTACTATACCTGAGTTTTATTTTTATGCATAATTTTATATGACTTTATACAGTATTTTTATAAAGATAAAATGAAATTAGAAACAACTTATAAAGGTCCATCAATAGAGAAATGATTGAATCAACTATGGTACTTCCATACCATAAATTCCTATACAGCAATAATGAGGTGCATATCTGGACATATGTACTGATATTATAAGATCTCTAAATCATATTGTTAAATTAAAATGAACATAATGTTTTAAACTATGGAATAAAACTAAGTATTACAATATGTGCATATACATACAAATATGTATTCAGAAGTAGTCCTCCTAAGATTATAGGACTATTTATAATTAAGATCCATTTGCAAACCAACACTAAAGCACCTCATATAATAACTTCATTAGAAATAAATATCTTTGTGCCATATCTTCTCTCTCTAGCTAACCACTCAATTTACAGATGTCACAGAAATAAAGTCTATCTCAGTTCAAATTGACTCACATTTCAAATTAGTAAAATTCTTAGAACGGGTAACTTTACATAATAAAAATCTGTGTGTGTATGTATGTGTGTGTGTGTTTCTTTTAGGCAGAGGTTGAAAAAATTATTTCAGTTGCCTGGGACATCTTTCAGCCCCTTCTCTTTGGACTGATTGGGGCAGAGGTATCTATTGCATCTCTCAGACCAGAAACTGTAGGTAAGAATATCAAAGTGGTGCTTTGGCTAAAATCAACCCGTTTTATATTCAGTTGAAATATCTTTAGCACGTATATGTTCAGTGGTTTCCGCTGTCACATTATATAAAAATATAATAATGATCTGTCTTTCTGAGTAGTTGGTTAGAAAGCATTTGTCGGTCTAAGACAGTAAATTTTATATCTTTAAAATTGTTCCTTGTAAAGAAAAGTAATGCTGTTTACTACTCTCAAAAATACAGGCCTTAGAATAATTTTTTCCAAGAATAAGAATTTTCATCTAGCCTTGTTCTGATCAAGGGCCAGAATTTTAAAGACAACTAGTCAATTCTATAATATGTACCCACGGAATAGAAATATTGATAGATTCTTTCATTTATTTATGCATTTAAAAGCTACCATAGTAACACTCTCTTGATTCTATAGCACTGTACTTAAAACTCAGTCACACGTATTTTCTATTTCCTCCCTTTTTTCCGCATCACCGTCATCTCCGTCCATGCTAGGAATCCCATCCCCTGCCACTTCCTTCTGCGTCTCACGCATAGATTCTTCTCATACACCTTTAAATATACTTGTCATATGCATACTTGTCAGTTTTCTCCTCTTCAGAATTTAAACAGAGTCTAATCTTATCTTAAAATAACATTCTTCCATTCTAATACATGCTGCAACATGGATGAACCTTGAAGACACTATACTAAGTGAAATAAGCCAGACACAAAAAGATGAACACTGTATGATTTCCCTTTTCTGATATATCCAGAGTAGTCAAATTCATAGAGAAAGAAAGTAAATGGTGGTTGCCAGGGTTTGGGGGGAGGGGGACATGGAGAGTTCTTGTTTAATGAGTACAGAGTTGCAGCTTTGCAAGATTAGTTGCACAAAAATGTGAATGTTTTTCTTACTACTACTTAGGTGCACACTTAAAAATGTGTTGAGATGGTAAATTTTATGTGTATTTTAACACAATTAAAAATGATTCTTCATTTCACTTCTCCCTTCACCTACTAATCTACCTCTCTCTTCTTTTCAAACTTTTCCAAAGAGGTAAGTAACCATATCCCCTTTTTTCCATTTTAACTCGTATCTTATTCTTTTATTCAATACACTTCAGTTCAGCTTCTGCCCTATGATACAGCCAACCCTGCTCTGACCAAGGTTGTATTGCTAAGTTCACTGAATACCTATCAGTCTTTATTTTATGTGAGTTCACAGCAGCGTTAGGGAAATCTTTAAAATACTTTTTACATTGAGTTATGAATCTATTTTCCAGAGCTTTTTGAGTCCTTCTTTACACTCACATATATTGGCTTAAATGCTGCTCTTCATCTAAATTTTGTCTAAAGCTTGTATGCTACTTTACATAATGTCTCTGAGTTCCTCTACACTCAATGTCTTTGATTATGAGCTATGTGTTTACAAAATCTTTATCTCTAAATCAATATACAAGATGGGACAAAAGTAGGTCTACAGTTTGTATGGAAAATAATACAGTAATTAATAAATAATAATACAAGAGTAAGCTCGGCATTTCACATACTCACAACTTGAAACCTGCTTTTGCCCAAGCCTGTATCCCGTTGCTTATTGGACATCCCCACTTGTGTAAGTCCTACAAAATTTCAAACTCACTGTGTGTTAAACTTTCTCATCATCCTCTCCTGAAACTTTTAATATTCTCTCCTGGGAATGATATCATCTCTTGTCTCATGTATTTTAGGCAACAAATACTTTCAAAAATTTACTATCCAGGGAGAAATACCCTTCAACAAAGAGCCACATAGCTTTTCTATAAAGAAAACATAGTCTAGATTCACAATAGATCCCCCAGCAATGTCTGTCTGGTGTTTTACAGTCTTTTTGAACTTGGGAAAGTTACTTATCCTTTCCAAATTTCATTGTTTTCAACTGTAAAGTGAGAAAAATTACCCCACAGGTTGTCGAGATTAAGTAAAGTAATTCACTTAAAGCTTAATACAGAGTAAACACCTAACAAATGTTACTTTTTTAAAAAATCACCCTATTATTTACCAGTCACCTTAGCTGTGTCTTTCTCAGGTCCAATAGCCTGCAGCAGCCCTTGTCAAAATCCTTTATTTTGCAGATCAGGGTGAACTTACCTTTATCAGTAAAGGATTCTGAAGGACTGAGTGAAGTACTGTAAATGGGAACCAGGGCTAATGGGCAGCCAATGTAAACACCCATGTGGTAAAACAGCAGTTCACTGACAGTGGCTATTTTGATTGGTCAGTGCCCAGCCATCTCTGTTCTGATTGGCTGCTTTCCCCAATGCTGGCTGGTAAATATTTTGAATATCCCCTCTGGTCTTATACTCTATAAAGATCTCTCAGCCATTTTGATGAAAATACTGACTTTTCCCTCTTCTTGCTCTCTTGCCAATATGTTTATACTTCACTTACCTTATAGTCTATTAATTGGTTGTTTATATTTCTGTATTCCTCTGACATTGAAGTTTATACAAGCAAAACCTGTACATTATTTATGTTTGTGTGTCCAGTATCTAGCCCAAATACTCTTATGCATTGTTATCACTTAATAAATTTTTGTTGAATAAACACATGGAAGAAACTATCATTTTTGCTGTAAAGGATAAGAGAAATAACATTCAAATCTCCTTTGTAGAAATTCAAATATATTTAATTAATTTCCCATTTGATTCTAAGGAAAATTTTTTCTTTTAAACAAATAGTCTGATTAATCCTAATACAGAGGTGGGCAAAAGTAGGTTTTTCCATTGTAATACAAATATATAATACAATAATGGATAAATATTAGAGAATTGTGCACCTGAAGCCTGTATAATTTTGTTAACCAATATCACCCCAATAAATTCAATTGAAAAAAAAACTTGGTAAATGATCTGGCACATTATGTAACAGAATCCCATGATGAACTACAAAGTGACCTAAATTCCAACCATGTTTAGAGGAGAAATGTTTAATGACATTGTAAGAAGCTTTTGTGAGCTGTGTTGTTAAGAGATATACCAGCACACTTACCAACCAACACATTTCTTAGTCATTGCTCTAAGTGCTACATATAACAGTAGAGTATATATACCCCCTCCCCCTAACAAACTAATAATTAATAAATATAAAAACAATAAACTGTATTTCACATACTCACAATTGTAAACCTACTTTTCCCAGCCTCTGTATTGATGTTTTGATAAATTATGTCTAACCATTTTTGTCTTTTAAATTTTTTAATAGATTTAGATTGCTGCTGTTGATAGTATTTTTGATAGTATTTTGAATCAATAACTGTGAGATTCGATTTCTCCCCCAGTATTTCATTATGTTTAAAAATTGAGTATTTCTTCACAGGTCTTTGTGTTGCCACCCTGGGCATTGCAGTTCTGATACGAATTTTGACTACATTTCTGATGGTGTGTTTTGCTGGTTTTAACATAAAAGAAAAGATCTTCATCTCTCTTGCATGGCTTCCGAAGGCCACAGTCCAGGTAATGATGGATAGGATGGCTTAGCATTTTAACTCCTATTTCTATTTGATACCTTGAAACTTTGAATAAGGGGCCTTATTCAAATTTGGTGAAAATAAGTCATTGATATTTGATCTGTAAAAAGAGTTTATACTAATACTCTTTAAATGTTTTATTTTTGGTATACTGATTCCTTAAATATGATAGCTCATTTAAATGTATTTATATCACCAAGGTACATCAAAAATTCCTATAAGTCTCTACGCTACTAGGAGACAGTAGTAGTAGGAGAAAAGAATTTGAATTTTTATCAGTCAGAGCTCTCTAAATCCCCCAGAGAGATAGATGTTAATTCTTTTCATCTCATTATCTTCCAAGAAGAGAGAGAAACAAATTGCATGGCTCATCTTAATATTTAGAAATACTTCAGTGTCAATATGATTGATGATTAGTTATGTTTGGTCACAGGCTTTATATAAAAAGTAGAAAAATCTATTGACAATTCAGAAAATGCTTTAGTGATTTCCTAGATTATTAGTTGATATTAAATTTTTCAAACCAGCTGAACCATCATTCACAGTTCTCACCACATAACCCAAAATTTGTGCACCCTAATGAACAAGGCCTTAACTGATAGGTGCTTAAAATTATTGACCATAAATTTGGTAAAATGCCTATAATTGCACATTGAATTAGCACTGTTTAGAGTATGATTTGTTGCAAATGTAATATATTCCCGGTTGTATTGCATATTTTCTAGAGTAATTATAGCAAGTTAGATTTAACTCTTCCATCCTTTATTATTTTGCAATTATTTAAGTATACAAATTTCTATTTCATGAAATGAAAATCAAATGTTCTTAATTTAGGAAACTTTGGAGGATATATATGTTCTGTAATTACATGCTAGATTTGTATGACTGTGGGCTTGGACATTGTTCCAGAGAAGGTTTTTCTTCCCCATCAGACTTTCAAAGATATATTAGATATAATGACTAAGGATACTGTGATGTTCATATGGTACAATAGGTGGAAGAGTTTCTCCCTCACGATGTCTTCAGCTTCCACACTACTTCTGGTAACTTTAGTAAGTGAACATTAAAAGAATCACTCCAGTAGCTTTAAAATATTAAAAGAATTGCTCTAGTAGCTTTGATAGGAAAGATTGATTTCTAAACATTAAAACCTTAAAGATGGCACTTTTCCTGTCTCAAAAAAAAGCAATTTTTTTTCAAAGCAAATTTTAAAATACAAAGAAATTATCTAGGATGTGTTGAAGAATGTATGTTCTGTGAAACAAGTATTGTATAGAATTCTCTTATTTTTCTCCTTTTGTCACAGCACAAGAAACAAGACTTCTTATATATTTTTCTATATTAGTCGTTTTTCAAACGTTTTTGTCTATGTGATATTATAAAAATATTTTTAAATCAGAGCTCAGCATAAGTACCAACACCAAAAGATACACACACATACACGTACACACACAACAGAGAAATATACACCTGAGCCTTGAACAACACAGCGGATAGGGAAGCTGTGCACAACTTTTGACTGCCCCCAAAATTGCCTCAGACGTCCCTCTGTATCAGTGACGGATTGGTTCCGGGACCCACCTGTGGATACCAAAATCTGAGGATGCCCTTATATAAAGTGGCATAGAACACTGCATACATTCAGCCATCTGCATACGTAGATTCCCAACCACAGATGGAAAATGCCCTTCTCACTCTACCACTGGTTGAATCCACAGCTGCACACCTAGAGATAAAGAGGGTCCCCCTGTATATTTATTGGGAAAAAAATCATATATAAGTAGACCTTCACAGTTCAAATCCATGTTGTTCAAGGGTCAAATATATATCATAATAGGTGCAATTCCTCTCAAGAATTTATGAAATGTTGAATTAGTTATGGTACCAGGTAATCTGCAATAACAAAGAAGCCTAAGTACAGGGACCAAATTAGAGAGCTTTCTCCTTTCTCACCAGCAGTCCTCCAGGGGCATTCCAGGGCTGGCCGAGTGACCACTGTGCTCAGCGTGTGCACGCTAGTATTTTCTGTTTCACTGTCCCAGAAGTAACATGTCCTGTGGAATAAGAGAATAACCAGAGTGACTAATATATCATCTTCCCATGTGCACTAATATTGTATTTTGCCTCTAAAACGAAATGAGAATTTTCATAAGATTTCCCAGTAGGTAAACTTTAAACGAAACATTTCACCAACTCCTGAGACAAAGAGTTAAACCAAATAGTAAGATTAACTTCAGATTTTGAAGTTTTTTAGCACTTTCAAGTTTCATGATGTTTAAAAATTAGTTTGACTCTAAAGCAATACTTTTTTTTTTCATTTAAAAGTTCATCATCTTTCAGTGATTATCACTGAATTTTTCTTCTTTTTCTTTCTTTTTTTAATGTTTTATTTATTTATTTTTAGAGAGAGGGGAAGGGAGAAAGAAAGAGAGAGAAGCTGTGATATGAGAGAGAAACATCGATTAGCTGCCTTTCATACGCTCCCAACAGAGGACCAAACCAGCAACCTAAGCACATGCCCTGACCAGTAATCAAACCAGCCAGGACACAGTACACAGGACAGTGCTCCAACCAACTGAGCCATACCTGCCAGGGCTCATCTTGTTCTTTCTTAAGTCCAAATTCCTAAACATGAAAGAATGAGATGACTGGTAACTTTCATCTTTATTCAGGAGAAATTTAATATATAGAATCATGTTGTAGTTTATTAATATCATGAGTCTGTGTTTTGAAATGTATTTCCCTGAAATTTTTGTAACCTTATGCAAATAGGTTACATATGAATCATCATTTTTTCCTCATGCCAGGGCAGGGACAGTTTCCAAACGGTCAGGACCAACTTCAGTATACTTCGAAAGAAGACTAATAGAACTTTATTAGATGAGAAAAGAACAAGCAATTTCTTTAAAAATAATTCCCTTATATCTATGTGCTTATCATGTTTCCAAATTTACCTTTAAACTTTTACAGGCTGCAATAGGATCTGTAGCTTTGGACACAGCAAGATCACATGGAGACAAACAGTTAGAAGAATATGGAATGGACGTGTTGACGGTGGCATTTTTGGCCATCCTCATCACAGCTCCAATTGGAAGTCTACTGATTGGCTTGCTTGGCCCCAGGCTTCTCCAGAAAGCTGAACTTCAAAATAAAGATGAAGAAGTTCAAGGGGGGACTTCTACACAGCTTTAGAGATGAAAAGAAAGAATGCTGAATATAATGATTACAAAGCTGCTAACTGAGGCTACTTTTATCAAAATGGGTAGTGAAATATGTAACGTTTAAGTTTAAAATGTAATGGAACCAAAAGTGTGGCTATTTCTTTAAGCAGCATTTTTAGCCATTATCCTTTATATGTGGGTGGTGATGTTCTGCATCTTCAACCTGACTGCTCTACCTTCTTCTTTTTTTCCAACACTCCTTCATCATACATCTTAATATGTATAGGGATATATACGCTTTAATGTACTACCACAATTTAAAAAGCACATGGGAAAGACTAATTTCAGAATCCTGTTCTACTAGCCAACAGCTTTCTCTGACTTACTGCTACTGTCACAGCTTCACTATTTGTGGTCACCTAACACATGAGGACCCTAGCTCCTCTTTTTTTGGCTCCTCTGTTCTTCTTTATTTTCAGATAACCATAATCCAGTGCCTCATCAGTTTCTACCCTCACTTTCCCTGCTAATATGCCTCACCTCCATTTCACTCTTCTTACTACATCTGATTGGTCCCACCAAAATATTAATGTATGCAAAGTATCTTCATTGGTTCTTCCTCTTGCACCTGTCTAGAATCTAGATGTTAACTGGATACAGAGCATTGATCAGGCCAACCAAACTTACTCAACCCCAACTACAGATGGAAACAATTACTCTTACATTCAGGTCCCCGAAAGAGGAGTATATGTACCCCATGCATACTTCTGTCAGAGCACTCAGCACCCCTTTTTGTTGTTTGTTTTTATATGTTTGCCTCCTATTAAATCAGCCAATTAGGGATGGGATCCTTGCCTTGGTCGTCTGTGAATACTCAGCATTTCGCTCAGGGCATGGCAGATAGTAAGCATTTAATAAATGTGTATTGACCGGATCAGTGAGGGGATCCTCTTCCACTATAGAAAACTACCTGCCATATAAACAGTTCAGAGCTTAGTCTGCTTGGTCTGACTTAGTCACCTCAGGCTGTCTAACAAAATACCATAGACTGAGTAGCTTAAGCAACAGATGAGTATTTTCCCACAGTTCGAGGGGCTGAAAGACGAACACAAGGATGCTGATGAGAGCTGTCCTCCTGGCTTGCCCATGGCCGCCTTCTCACTGCATCTTCACATTGTGGGGAAAGAGGTGGGGATGGAGGAGAGTGTGCAAGTTCTCTTGTGTCTCTTCTTATAAGAGTCCTTATCCCATCATCAGGGTCCTACCGTAATGACCTCATCTAAACATAATTATCTCCCAAAGGCCCCAACTCCAAATACTGTCACATTGGAGGTTAGGGCTTCAAAATATGAATTGGCGGAGGGATGGGGGAATGAGGAGGACATAGTTCAGTCCAGGGCAGGGGTGTCATACTTCCAAGGATGGTGCTAAACAAACACTGAAAATCCTTGTTCTTCAGTGCTCTTTTTATTCCTACAACCAGTGCCACTTCTATCCCCTCTCAGAAGTATTTTTTTAGATGGACTGATCAGGCTTCAGATCTCTAAGTGATTTTCACCTTTCAGTATTTTCTCTTTGGTATTAATGCCAAATAACATTGACTAGCCTTGGGTGTTCTCAAAATTTCCTGAGCCATACATCTGCATTTGCAAACAATCTCATCCATTACATTCTTTAAAAATAGTATTGATTTTTTTTTCTGATTATAAAACAATTTTAATTACAGAAAATTTAGAACACAGGAAAGTACAAGAAAGAAAACAAACTACTTTTAATGAAAATACCCATTTTATTTTGATTCTTTTAAATTTTACATTTCTGAGGGATGTCTTATTTTCAGAAAGATATATCCTCCACTGAATTAGTTGGGTGAAATTTAACATAAATATATACATTTGAGTTCTGTGAAGATACGTAGATTGATGAATTTTTGTTTTATATAATGAATGTTAAGTCTTCCCAAAATTATTTATTCACCTGGCAATGTTCAAATATTCATTTTGCAATAAATAAAAATTTTTGCCATAATGGAGCGTATGTTTTAAAATCCATTCATTCACTCATTCAAATACACTTATAACATGTCTACTATGTGCCAGGCATTATGCTAGATACTGGGGAATACAGTGATGAACAAGATATTCAAGGACTTTGTTTTTTATGCTACTTGAGTTCTAGTGGGTGGTTGACACTGCAAAATACAAATATGAATAAGACAGGATACTTGCCTTTAAGAACCTTACAAGGCAAAACAATACGTACAAATATTTGTAATCCAAAGGAATGATTCAAAAGTGTTCCCAAGGATCCAAGAGGGCTGTGGAGTAGGTGGATGTTACACTCACCTCCTCTCAGGACCAAACTGGAATTTTAATTAAAATATAGAGCAATCAACCATAATAACCATCTGAAAACTAGCTGAAGAAAAGTCTTAAAACCGAGGATCTCAAGAAGGAGCCACGTCAAGACTGATAGGAAGGGCAGAGACTCAAAAAACACTGGCCCCACTCCTATGGGCAGCAGCTGAGATTCCAGAGGGATATCTAAGCTGTGGAGGTTCCCTCTGAGAAGCCCCCAGGCTGGGCACCATAGCCCAGAGAACCCAAGCCGTGAAGAGGTGCCCAAATAACACCTGGCTGGGAAAATCAGCAGAGTCTGTCCACCAGGGAGAGGCAAGAGTCTGCTAGAGACACAGGTGCACTTTTAAAGGGCCAACACACAAAATCTCATTTGCAGCCACGCACCCCAGGCTCTGGAGGAGGGAGAGCAGAGCAGACCATAATCATGCTAGGAGAAACTGGGGTTTGTGGCTCTGGGGAAAGAGTTAAGGGGACAGCTGCCAGGACCCCTGTGCTGAGTTACCCACATTGCAGATGCCACCTTTCCTGGGCAGAGGACTCCACTCATACGGCATCAGCCCCACCCTCTGGACTCCCCATTGCCCAACCCTGTGGAGCTTCCACCCTGCTGAGGAATCAGATGCCTGGGCCAAGGTGTGGAAGTCCTGGCAGATTCAGGGAGTATCAGTGACTGAGTTGTGTAGCTTTGGGGTGGGGCCACTCCCCCCACTTTTCCATGAAACTGACTGGTGCCTCCTCCTCCTCACAGGAGAGCCCTTAGCCCCACTCTTCAGGCTCCCGGCAGCCCAACAGCCCCACCCTCCTGACTTTTGGTGGCTCCACCCTGCCAAGGTCTGGGCAGAATCTAGGACAGACTGAGTTGTGTGGCTCTGTGGCAGGGGCAATGCTCCCCAACTTCGCCCAAGCCTGATGAGGACCTCCTTGTCTCCTAACTCTTGGTAGCACCACAGTGCTGAGATTGGGCTCCTGGCACAATCTGGGACTCACTAAGTTGCCTGGTTCCAGGACAAGGAAAACTTTTTCCTTGCACACCCTACTGGTGTAGAGCCCTCTCTTCAAATGGCCAAATCTGGGTCTGTTTGGGCCTGATAAACTCTCCTGACCTCACCCTGATGACTTCCTGAGAGCTCACCCACCACAAAGGTGTGCAAGCACCCAGCTAGTGGCGGCTAGACTTCGTATGCCCTGGAACTTTTGCTGACTGGCCTCAGACCCAATACTGGCACAGAGTTTGAACCTGTATCAATCTGGTGAGCACCACTCACCCTTACCTGGTGAGTCCCTGAGAACCTACCTCATGCAACACAAGTACCTCTAGAGACTCTTTCAGTGACTGAGCCTAAGAGGCAGCTGGCAGAGACAGATGGAGGCAGATCTTGGGGTTCCTTGGGACTTTTGCTGACCTGTCCCTAGGCCCAGTGATGGTAAAAGCTAGCCTTGGTGCACAGCTTCATCCTTCCCACACACACCCAGGCCCAGCAGAGGAAGCCACAAACTGTAGATTGTTTTGTAGCTCCAATCAGGTTGCCCAGGGTCAATCAAGGCCGTCTCTGCCATTGGCCCACACCAGTGTCCCTCCTAAGAGGCCCCAGAACAATACACCCATTGGCCAGCTCAGACAACATCAGGGCAGGATCCAATTAGTTTCAGAAGAGGCATATCCAAAGGGAGATCGCACAAAGCACCAGACCCTGCTGAGGCAAATTCTGGTCCATGTGGTCAGCACTAGAACAGCAGTTGTATAATGCAGTTAGGGTTGATCCTCACAGTCAGTCAACTTGAGGGTTCACACCGTGCACAAATGGGCCAATAGCAATCAAAACTCAATTACAATTGGAGGGCCCACAGAACCAACACAAGAGACATTCCCGGAGCACCCAGTTCAGGTGATCAAGAAGACTGTGCCACTGGGTCCCACAGGACGCCTACTACATAAGGCCATCCTACCAAAAAGCAGAGTCAAAGTAGATCTGCCTAATACATAGAAAACAAAAATAAAAAGGCAGCCAAAATGGGGAAACAAAGAAACATGTCCCAAATGGAAAACAAAATAAAACAAAACAGGAGAAATCTCCATAAAAAGAGCTACATGAAATGGAGGCAAGCTATTTACCAGATATAGAGTTCAAGGAATGGTTATAAGGATGCTCAAGGAACTTAGTAAGAACTTCAACAAAAAGTAAGCAAGCATAAAATGAAAGAACATACAAAAGAGCATACCAAAAAGAACCAGTCAAAAATAAATAATAAAATAACTGAAATGGAGAACACACTAGAAGGAATAAACAATAGGTTGGATGAAGCAGAAGACAGAATCAGCAATTTGGAAGACAATGTTGCAGAAAACAGAGTAATAAAAAAAAATTTTTTTTAATGAGACTAGTTAAGGGACTTTTGGGACAACATGAAGTGTGACAACATCCACTTCAAAAGGGTATGAGAAGGAGAAGAGAGAGAGCAAGGAACTGAGAACCTATTTGAAGAAATAATGAATTTCCTAACCTGATGAAGGAAAAAGACATACAAGACCAGGGAGTTCAGAGAATCTCAAACAAGATGAACCCAAAAAGACCCACACCAAGACACATCATAATTAAAATGTCAAAGTTTAAAAGACAAAGAGAGAATCCTAAAAGCCTCAAGAGAAAGACAGTACCTGCAAGAGAGCTGCTATAAGACTGTCAGCTAATATCTCAACAAAAAACACTTCAAGCCAGAAGGGATTGTCATAAAACAGTCAAAGTGATAAAAAGCTAGAGCTACAACCAAGACTGCCTTACCCACCTAAAGAAGTTTGTTACCAGCAATACAAGACCCGTTAAAGAGTCTTCTAAAAAAAGAAGGAAGAGGAGGAAAAGGGAGAATATAGTTAAAAGAATAAAATGGCAATAAATATGTACCTGTCAATAATCACTTTAAATGTAAATGGCTTAAGTGCTCAGATCAGAAGACATAAGGACCCTGGCCAGGTTGCTCAGTTGGTTGAAGTGTCATCCCATACACCATGAAAGGATGTATCTGGGGCACAGAGCAGTGCCCTGGAGGTATCAGACTCCCCTCAAGATCCTCCTTCACAGCACTACCACGTGTCTCTCCTCCCAGTATGCTTGGGAACTTTCCTGCCTTTCCCTTTCCTACCATGAGAGCAAAGCATTTCTTTATAATCACATAAGGAAATCACATAAGCCTTATAATCACAAAAGACCTTCTCTACTCAAAAAACAGGGCAGAAAATAACTTGTAATCCTTGCTGAGATATGTACACCATGCTGAAGGTGAAAGGGGTTTAAAGTAAAATGAAAATTTCTTATTTGGTTGCCCACAAATGTGTCGTTATTTGAATCAGACTTTAAATGATAAATAAGGAGAAGAGCCCTCACTGTGTGGCTCAGTTGGTTGAGTGAGCATCATCCCACAAAAAGAAAGGTGACCAGTTCGATTCTCAGTCAGGGCACATGTCCAGGTTGCAGGCACAGTCCCTGGTTGTGGCACATAGGAGAAGCAACCCATCAATGTTTTTCTCTCACATTGATGTTTCTCTCTCTCTCTTTTTCTCCCTCCCTTCTCCTTAAAAAATAAATAAATAAAATATTTTTCTTTTAAATGAAGAGCACACTCCCAATAGATGGAATAACTAGGAAAAGACATGGAGGCAGAAAGGAATATAGTGTGAGTAGGAGCAAAAGTTGTTTGGAATACCAGGAGGAGAAATAAAAAAAGGTAGTGTGTCTCTCTATGAAGTTCGGCCTTTCTCCAATAAGTTTTGTCTGTATTTTAAGAAGCTTGGGGATTCCATTAGAGAAACTTTATAGACCACCTTTGGGACCAAGAATCCAAAGCATCTGTGCCCACCTTCAACCAGAGCAACTATGCTTTCTTTTGTTTTATATGAAGCTTTCCATATAAGATTTCATGCGGGGGGCGGGCAAAGAGTCTATACTGATAATAGCATATTGAGTGTTTACTTTGTACCAACCCCTGTTCCAGACACAAGTCGTTAACTCACATCACCATGTCCTTTACAGACGAGAAAACTGAAGCTCAGGGAGATGAATGTATTTGCCTGCAGTCCCATAACTATAAAGTAACAGTGCTGAACTTCGGGCTCAAACCAGAGACTATGTTCTTTTTTGGTATTTAAGCTGCCTTAAGGGGAAAAGACATCTGACTTGTGACACGTTCCTTCTGGTCCCTGCGGCCCCTGGCGCTACGTTTTGGCTAAAGGGCCCTGTCGTCAACTCTGTGCCTGGACTTTTCCAACCCAATAGGTCAACATTCAAAAGAGACGTGAAAAGATAAAGATGACTCAGTAGACCAAAACGCACACCAGGCAGCCCAGGAGCACCCCGGAACTCTCGCGGCCGTAGGTCCATAGGCG